ACTCAGCACCAAGCGCCTAGCCCTTAACACACAGGTCCTATCTCCCAGCACCCTTGATTCAAGACTACAACCTGAACTGTGTATCCCTAGCTACAGTATGTACATCCTAGCTACACTGCTAAGCTCTAGACCTCGGTATAGATACACTCAACACCTAGCCTCATGTCACTACACCTAGCTTCATGATGTCACTACACCTAGCCTCATGATGTCACTACACCTAGCCTCATGATGTCACTACACCTAGCTTCATGATGTCACTACACCTAGCTTCATGATGTCACTACACCTAGCCTCATGATGTCACTACGCCTAGCTTCATGATGTCACTACACCTAGCTTCATGATGTCACTACACCTAGCTTCATGATGTCACTACACCTAGCTTCATGATGTCACTACACCTAGCTTCATGATGTCACTACACCTAGCCTCATGATGTCACTACACCTAGCTTCATGATGTCACTACACCTAGCTTCATGATGTCACTACACCTAGCCTCATGATGTCACTACACCTAGCCTCATGATGTCACTACACCTAGCTTCATGATGTCACTACACCTAGCTTCATGATGTCACTACACCTAACCTCATGATGTCACTACACCTAGCTTCATGATGTCACTACACCTAGCTTCATGATGTCACTACACCTAACCTCATGATGTCACTACACCTAGCTTCATGATGTCACTACACCTAGCTTCATGATGTCACTACACCTAGCTTCATGATGTCACTACACCTAGCTTCATGATGTCATATGACCTCACGTGTCTAGGACAAACGATGCCTTCGGACACGGAGTTGATGAAGTATGTGTCAGTGTGTCCGATAGGGAAGAGCGAGAGGGACACATGTGTGTCTTCATTAGCATGTGTCTTGGCATGTGTCCTCAGTGGTGGAGAGATAGAGATAGAGAGAGAGAGAGAGAGAGAGAGAGAGAGAGAGAGAGAGAGAGATTATCTGTCTCTGCCCCTGTTGCCTCAGCCCTCAAACATCGAACAGATAGGCAGACCGAAATGATATTAATAGATATATAAGATACGAGTAATAATATTTATATATATATTTTATAAGGAGAGACGCTGTATCAAAACATTATAAACACTACAGTTTGAAGCCCTTACTTGTGACCCAACTTAGAGCCGGATTCTGGGATTTACGTTCCAGTCCTCTTCTGTGCCTGTATTTTTCTGAATTTGTAAAAAGCAAATTATGTGTCGTGTTAGACCGCATGAAACACGATTTATGGACGCAAGAATTTTGTCCTGGTGTTGGCGGTGGTACTGGGGGGGGGGTGGTACTGGGGCGGTGGTGGTGGTACTGGGGGGGGGTACTGGGGTGTTGTGGTGGTACTGGGGGGGGGGGTTACTGGGGTGTTGTGGTGGTGCTGGGGTGGTGGTGGTGGTACTGGGGTGGTGGTGGTGGGGTGTTGTGGTGGTGGTGCTGGGGTGTGGTGGTGGTGGTACTGGGGGGGGTTACTGGGGTGTTGTGGTGGTACTGGGGGGGTTACTGGGGTGTTGTGGTGGTGCTGGGGTGTTGGTGGTGGTACGGGGGGGGGTACTGGGGTGGTGGTGGTGGTACTGGGGGGGGTACTGGGGTGGTGGTGGTACTGGGGTGGTGGTGGTGGTACTGGGGTGGTGGTGGTGGTACGGGGGGTACTGGGGTGGTGGTGGTACTGGGGTGTGGTGGTGGTACTGGGGTGGTGGTGGTACACTGGGGTACTGGGGTGGTGGTACTGGGGGGGGTACTGGGGGTGGTGGTGGGGTGGTGTGGTGACCAAACACTGGGGGGTGGTGGTGGTACTGGGGTGGTGGTGGTGGTACTGGGGTATTGGTGGTGGTGGGGGCTGGGGTGGTGGTGGTGGTACTGGGGTGGTGGTGGTGGTACTGGGGGGTGGTGGTGACCAAACACTGGGGTGGGGGTACTGGGGTGGTGGTGGTGGTGGTGGGGGGGTACTGGGGTGGTGGTGGTACTGGGGGGGGTACTGGGTGGGGTGGTGGTGGTGCTGGGGGGTGGTGGTGGTACTGGGGTGGTGGTGACCAAACACTGGGGTGGTGGTACTGGGGTGGTGGTGGTGGTACTGGGGTGGTGGTACTGAAACACTGGTGGTGGTGGTGGTACTGGGGTGGTGGTGGTACTGGGGTGGTGGTGGTACAAACACTGGGGTGGTACTGACCAAACACTGGGGTGGTGGTGGTGGTACTGGGGTGATGGTGGTGGTGGTGGTACTGGGGTGGTGGTGGTACTGGGGTGGTGGTGGTACTGGGGTGGTGGTGGTACTGGGGTGATGGTAGTGGTGGGGGTACTGGGGTGGTGGTGGTGGTACTGGGGTGGTGGTGGTGACCAAACACTGGGGTGGTGGTGACCAAACACTGGGGTGGTGGTACTGGGGTGGTGGTACTGGGGTGGTGGTCGTACTGGGGTGGTGGTCGTACCTGGGGCTGGTGGTCGTACCTGGGGTGGTGGTAGTACTGGGGTGGTGGTCGTACTGGGGGGGTGGTGGTGACCAAACACTGGGTGGTGGTGGTGGTGGTACTGGGGTGGTGGTGGTGACCAAACACTGGGGTGGTGGTGGTGACTGGGGGGGGTGGTACTGGTGTGTGGTGGTAGTGGGGTGGTGGTGGTGGTACTGGGGTGGTGGTGGTGGTACTGGGGTGGTGGTGGTGGTACTGGGGTGTTGTGGTGGTGGTACTGGGGTGGTGGTGACCAAGTACTGGGGTGGTGGTGGTGGTACTGGGGTGGTGGTGACCAAACACTGGGGTGGTGGTGGTGGTACTGGGGGGTGGTGGTGGTGGTACTGGGGTGGTGGTGGTGATACTGGGGTGTGGTGGTGACCAAACACTGGGGTGGTGTGGTGGTGGTACTGGGGTGGTGGTGACCAGTACTGGGGTGGTGGTGACCAAACACTGGGGTGGTGGTGGTGACCAAACACTGGGGTGGTGGGTGGTTGTACTGGGGGTGGTGGTGGTGACCAAACACTGGGGGGTGGTGGTGGTGGTACTGGGCACTGTGGTGGTGGTGACCAAACACTGGGGTGGTGGTGGACCAAACACTGGGGTGGTGGTGACCAAACACTGGGGTGGTGGTGACCAAACACTGGGGTGGTGGTGGTGGTACTGGGGTGGTGGTGGTGGTACTGGGGTGTGGTGGTGGTGGTACTGGGGTGTGGTGGTGGTGGTACTGGGGTGTTGGGTTGGTGGTACTGGTGGTTGTGGTGATAGTATTGGGAGTTGTGGTGGTGGTGATACTGGTGGTTGTGGTCTTTGTACTGGGGGGGGGGGGTGAGGGTGGTACTGGGTGGTCACTGAATAATACTACCTAAAGATACTTACGTATCAGTGACTTCGCGAAGCGAGATCTAGCACTACATACCCTGCCTACCAGCCATGATGTACCTGTTCCGTTATTTTAGCTATTCTGACGTTCGAATTCGTCGAATCTGGCCTTAAAGTTGTGGATTGACTTCCACAACTTCTTTGAGTGTATTCCACTTGTTGACTGCTTGGCCACCTAAGTATCTTGTAAGTTGTGATCATGTCTCCTCTACCTTCTCTGTCATCCATGGTTGTTAGGTCCAGTTTCCTCAAGTTATCCTCATAGGTTAAACTTCTTAGCTCCGGCGGCAGTCATGTTGAAAACCTCTGTAGATCTTCAGTTTTAGTAGGTACGGATTCCCAGGCCAGTGCTGCATATTCCAGTATTGGTCTCTCGAAGGTTGTGTAGGGGAAAAGGGGGGGGACGTCCCCCTTCCCCCCTTCCATTGGACTCAAAGCCTCACATGACACCAGGGGAAAATTACCATGAGAACTTCTCATGCAGAAGCCCGAGTTAGTTTACACATTGTTCAATAGATGGCGTCTTGGTCAGAATTATTGTTAATTAATGGCGTGTGAGGTAAATCGTAAGATATATGCATGGTGTGTGTGCTGTGCATAGTGGGTGCTGTGCATGGTGGGTGTTGTGCATGGTGGGTGTTGTGCATGGTGGGTGTTGTGTATGGTGGGTGTTGTGCATGGTGTGGTGTTCTGTGCATGAATTGTTTAATAGTCTTGTGTGGTGGTGTGCATGTGAAGGTGTTCCGGCTGGCAGCCTTCTGTGAGACACCAACACATTGAGCTCTGGCGCTCACATTCAGGCACTCTGAGCTCTGGAGCTCACACTTAGGCACTCTGAGGAGCTCTGGGGCTCACACTCAAGACACTCTGAGCTCTGGGGCTCACATTCAGGCACTCTGAGCTCTGGAGCTCACACTCAAGCACTCTGAGGAGCTCTGGGGCTCACACTCAAGACACTCTGAGCTCTGGGGCTCACACTCAGACACTCTGAGCTCTGGAGCTCACACTCAGGCACTCTGAGGAGCTCTGGAGCTCACACTCAGGCACTCTGAGGAGCTCTAGGGCTCACACTCAGGCTAAACTACATTACGAACTGAATGTTTGTTCCCATTGAAACTGTAAGCTAAAGAGCTGGCCGCGTACATCAGTTCCTCCACAACCGGACCCAGAAACGTATTTGAGGTGCCTCACAGCAGTCGGGATTTCCTCTCTTGTATATGTAAACAGTAGAGAAAGTCGTAAGATGAGCTTCAGATATGAGTAAGGTCGTAAGACCCACAACAAGGAGGCGAGCACACTGCTGCTATTAAGTGGCTTTGGCATTAGCTAAAATAGTGACTAAATTCAGAGTTTGTTCTTGAGGTAATTTCTTTAACTGTAGAATGAAGCTTTGAGATACCAAGAGCTTACGCTCAGTCAGTAGTACTTCCAAGGTGCCAGACACGACCAAAATCACCTTCAATGTCCCGAGCAGCAACACACAGGCACAACCCAACCCAAGAGCTCTTGGGTTGCAACCGGTGGAGAGGTTTGGAACAAGAGATCGACAGCGGGACGACCTCTGCTAAAACCCATATTATCTACCCCATAACGAGCTCCATGAGCTAGGTCACCATTGGCAGCTCACCAACGACCCTTCTTCTCCTTCCCTACAGATATCCCTCCCGGCCTGGTGCTCCAGATGGACCTGGTGAGCTCGGGACTCGAAGTGATTGCGGATGGTGACTTCGGTGATACGAGAGTTGGCAATCTCCGTCTGATGTCCAATAATATACGACTCATTGGCGACAAGGCTTTCAGGTGAGTGGTTGGGCAGCAGGAAAACAGGACGGTATAGTCTTTTGTATTGTCTTTCTGAGAGAGAGAGAGAGAGAGAGAGAGAGAGAGAGAGAGAGAGAGAGAGAGAGAGAGAGAGAGAGAGAGAGAGAGAGAGAGAGAGAGAGAGAGAGAGAGAGAGGAAGGGAATTATCATGGGAAAAGCACCAAGCCATTACGACTATGTAGCACTTGGAAGGGGGGGGTCAGGATAAGGATTAGGGATGGGACGGCGGGAAGGACTGGTGCCCAACCACTTGGACGGTCGGGGATTGAACACTGACCTGCATGGAGCGAGATCGTCGCTCTACCGCCCAGACCAAGTGGTTGGACGGAGAGAGAGAGAGGAGAGAGAGGAGAGAGAGGAGAGACGGAGAGAGAGAGAGAGAGAGAGAGAGAGAGAGAGAGAGAGAGAGAGAGAGAGAGAGAGAGAGACAGAGAGAGAGAGAGAGAAAGAGTCACCACTGACTCCTTCCCCCGTGGGTAAACAGAAACATATCAGGAACACAAGACATTAAACAGGTGGCCCTTACCTGTTAACCACTACACCTGGCCCCCACATATTACAAGAGCGTTGCCACAACCTCATTACCAGAGCCGGACTGAGCTCTATGGGTGAACGAGGCTCTAAACATCGCTATGGCCATCATTGTCAAAATGCTTTTGTTGCAAAGCAGGTTTAATAGCTGCAATGAATGTGATGGCAGTTTCAGCAACGGATATATAGAGATACTTGTTTGTATATATACATGCCTCTATATCCATAGAGTCGGGTATATAACAACAAAGTCACGTATAAGCACAATCAGGAATATACCCACAGAATCAGCTATATAATCAAAGAGTGATATAGAAACAACATAGAATAGAAGATATAGAAGAACATAGATATATGATATACTAGAACATAATTAATATGTAACCATACAGATAGGCAGGCTGACACACGCACACACACACACACACTCAGGGGCGCTGGTAGCTGAGTGCACAGCTCGCGGGACTCGTAATCCTGTGGCCCAGGTTCGAATCCCGGCGCCGGCGAGGAACAAGGGGCAGAGTTTCTTTCACTCTGATGCCCCTGTTACCTATTAGTAAATAGGTACCCGGGAGTTAGACAGCTGTCACGGGCTGCTTCCTGGGATGTGTGTGAGTGGTGTGGAAAAAAAAAATAGTAGTAGAAACAGTTGATTGACAGTTGAGAGGCGGGCCGAAAGAGCAGAACTCAACCCTCCGCAAGCACAAACTAGGTGAATACAACTAGGTGAATACAACTAGGTGAATACAACTAGGTGAATACACACACACACACAAAGCCAGTTAGCTGGAATAGTGAGATAACCCATATCTAATATTCTTGTTGTACTCACCTGACATATGTTAGTTCCTCTCTCTCCCTCTCTCCTCTCTCCCTCTCCCTCCCTGCCTCTCTCCTCCCTCCCTCTCCCTCCTCCTCCTCCTTCCGGCCTCCATGTATCTATTCTCTGTTCGTCTCCACTGTTTATTATAGATTAATTTCTGGTTCTCTTTCTTTTCCATTTCTCTGTTCATGTCTGTCTGCCTGTGTGTGTGTGTGTGTGTGTGTGTGTGGTGTGTGTGTGTGTGTGTGTGTGTGTGTGTGTGTGTGTGTGTGTATACTCACCTAGTTGTACTTGCCGGGGTTGAGCTCGGGATCTTTGGTCCCGCCTCTTAACTAAGCTGTGTACTTACCCAGTTGTGCTAGGTAAGTAGGTGTGTGTGTGGGTGTGTGTGTGTGTGTGTGTGTGTGTTGTGTGTGTGTGTGTGTGTGTGTGTGTGTTGTGTGTGTGTGTGTGTGGTGTTGTGTGGTTGTGAGAGTCCATGGGGGGTTGGTTGGCAGCAAAACGGAGACGAATATGTTTTTACAACCTGGAAAGAATACATTAAACTCTGTTGGTTTTAATTTTAGATCCCCGAGACGATGAGAGAGAGAGAGAGAGAGAGAGAGAGAGAGAGAGAGAGAGAGAGAGAGAGAGAGAGAGAGAGAGAGAGAGAGAGAGAGAGAGAGAGAGAGAGAGAGGGTACACTAGACAACAGAACACCTTCGTTAAGACAGAGGCAGCACTTAAGAGAACGGAACACCTTCGTTCTTCACATTGGGATCATAAAATTCATTTTACGTTCCATTTCCGGCCATCGTAACTGTGTTCTGTGTAAGTGTATTCACTCGCGTGTGTGAGTGAGTGAGTGTGTGTGTATTCATCTAGTTGTGCTTGCGGGGGTTGAGCTCTGCTCTTTCGGCCCGCCTCTTAACTGTCAATCAACTGTTACTAACTACTAACTATTTTTCCCCCCTCCACACACACACACACACACACACACACACACACACACACACACACACACATACATACACACACACACATACGGTTAAGTTTCGTCCTTTTGTGGAGGCCAAAACCGTCAGTAGTTTCAAAGCGTTATACGACAAAGAGTACTGGGAAGACGGGACACCATGAGCGTACCTCTCATCCTGTAACTACTCACGTAATTAAACGTAGGTAATTACCACAACAAGGCCTCATTCCCATCACAGTTTCGTGGTCAAGCGCAAATACTACGTGCGTGTTTCCGCGAGTGTGTGCTTGTGCGTGCGTGGGAGCGTATGTGTGCGTGTGCGTGTGTATGTGTGAGTGTGCAAGGGTGTGTGGAGTACGCCTAGCGTGTGTGTGTGTTTCCCTTTAAGGTGCGTCCAGGAACTTTTCACCAGCCGCTAGACACACCTTAAGAGAAGCCGTCAGCGTGAGGCCAGTGTGAGGTGTGTATGTGTGTGTGTTTACTAGTTGTGTTTACTAGTTGTGTTTTTGCGGGGGTTGAGCTTTGCTCTTTCGGCCCGCCTCTCAACTGTCAATCAACTGTTTTACTAACTAACCAGTTAGTGTGTGTGTGTAACTAATAGGCCAGTGTGTGTGTGTGTGTGTAACTAATAGGCCAGTGTGTGTGTGTGTGTGTGTGTGTGTGTGTGTGTGTGTGTGTGTGTGTGTGTGTGTGTGTGTGTGTGTGTGTGTGTGTGTGTGTGTGCGTGTGCGTGTGTGTGTGTCAGTGTGCGTGTGTGTGTGTGTCGGGGTGAGGGCAGTGTATTAGCGTGAGAGATGTGTCATTCAGTCGCATGTATATTTAGTATGACACACCTGTCCTAGAATATACGCCACCAGCATCGAGTCCTTATCTCGTCTCAAACAAAATTCAAGTTGGAGAACGTCAAGAGGTACACAACCAGTCTAGTCCCGGAGCCGAGAGACACGAGATATGAGGAAAGCCTAAAGAAACTGAACCTCATTGTAAGACAGCAGATTCACGGGATACGACATTACCTAATTATCAAAGAAACAGGCCAAGTATCCAATACCGGACTTGTATGGAATGTATGTATACGGTATGTATATGTGTTCCTTCTTCGTATGTATACGAACAAGGAACAAGGGGTCACAGGTGGAAACGAAGTAGTGAGGAAATGGAATGAACTAAAAAGTGGAGTGGTGAAAGGCAGACTCCAGTCCAGTCAACTGTAAATGTAGATATGATAGAGCCCAATAGGTTCGGGAACCTATACACCAGTTGTAAAGTGAGAAGCAGAACCACCACCACTACTACCTACTACGCAACGGGTTACAATTCTGACAACAGGTTTCATAATCGTTCAGAACCAAACGCAACACTGCCCAAACGCTTCATAATTACAGAGGGCGCAAAGCAACACTCCCAGAATGTTCCATAATCACCCAGAACACAAAACTCCTTACAGTTAGTCTCTGTATATATTTTCTTTTTCCATTTTCTTTTTTCCAGTTTTTTATTTTTGCCTTAGGCAGGAGTACAATGGCTGAGAGGGCGGAGGATGTAAAGAATTCCCAGCCCTTCAGCGTATCATCTTGGAATAAAAATTCCTAAATCTAGTTTGTGTAACGCTGTAAGGGATGCCTTCGTCTCTCTCTGTTTATCATCTCTCTCTTTCTCTCTTTAAAACGCTTCTTTCCCAAGCGATCTCCCTTACCATTTCCAGATTTCCTTCAGGAGAGGGGATGGGGTTCCAGCTGTGGAATCCAGAGTCAATGTTTACGCTGGAAAACCCCAATGAAAGGCTTTCCAGATTTCCAGTCCTGGAGCCCCCCCTTCCAGACACTCGGGCGAGGCTCTTCTGGAACTCATTAAAGCCTGGAACCACTCGCTGCCAACTCGTTTATAATCACTGGCTTTTCCAGGGAGTTCCAATGGTTTTCCAGTTACTTTCCAGGCGTGGATAAATATTATGAATTTAACTAAGGCTCGCTAGACGCAAGCAAACCCTTCAATGATTGTTTCTTGAATTTGTTTAATGTTTATTAGAGAGAATGATACGACACCCAGAAGAGAATAAGTGTAATGGGTGATATAAATGGGTCCTGAGGGTATATAATGGGTAGTAATGGCGTCACAGGAATAAATGATAAAACATGCAGAGCGAGAGATCTATGCAATCACAGCTGTGTATTAATAATATTTTATACATAAAATATATTGATCAATTTACATTGCACAGGCTAAAGGATGAAACTGGTCTCATACTTAAGATAAGTATACTTATGCGTGTGAGAGAATACCTGGAGGGAAATCAGAGCACGTGGCCACGCTTGGTGTAAAGTGAGTGAGTGTGGAGTTCCAGCTGTGGAATCCAGAGTCAATGTTTACGCTGGAAACCTCCCCAATGAAAGGCTTTCCAGATTTCTATTAAAGCGACCATTTCCGGTCGTAGGTCGTATGGAGACAGGAGGTCAATTCATGGACACTGTGCAAGAGAAAACTGCAAACAAGCACACAATTAGAGATGATATCCCTGGAAACACAGAAACTGTGTTTCTGTGTTTTGAAACAGAAACTTTCTGTGTTGAAACTTCTTGTGTGTTGATACAGTTTCTGACAGAAACTTTACACAGAAACAGTTTTCTTCTGTGTTGAAACAGTTTCTGTGTTGAAACCGAAACTGTCTCTCTTTTCCGCTTGTTACAACTTGTAATAAAGTTGTTACATCTTGGCTTAACGTGATTATGACGTATTAGAACGTTGTTACAACTTGCAATATTGGTTGTTATAACTGGTTAGGAGGTGTTAAAACTTGTTCGAACGTTGTACCAACGTCGTAGTTTCGGCGTGTTTGGCGGGTAGAGTTTGGAGAGAGAGAGATAAAGTGTGATGAAATCAACCTTTTAGTGACGAGAGAGAGATGAATACAAGAGATGGTCGGTTAGGAGGTCCAAGTACTCACCTAGTTGTGTTTGCGGAGGTTGAGCTCTGGCTCTTTGGTCCCGCCTATCAACAGTCAATCAACTGGTATATGTGTGCAAAACTGCTTGGTTACACGAGGACTTTCCAAGATCACTTTATAACAAGTGAAAGAAGTGGATTGCTTAGGACATACCAGAGTGAAAGATGGAAACAAGAACACGAAAGAGGAGATTTAAAAAAAATGTAGAAATATTAGTAAAGCAGAAGAGAAAGGAACAAAAGAGATAGGAAAGGAAACTGAATAAAATTATTCATAGTACATGAAGCTATTTTGGAATTAATGTTAACAAAAGAGAAGATAAGAAACAGGTGGAGAAAATACTCTGAAAATATGTCGAATGGAAGTGTTGAGAGAGATTGTTGACCAGACCACACACTAGAAGGTGAAGAGACGACGACGTTTCGGTCCGTCCTGGACCATTCTCAAGTCGATTGGGATTGATCTCAAGTCGACTGTTGACAGAGATGCTTCTGTGAGCACGGCCGAGCTCAACAGAGCACCAGACTGAGCACATGTGGCATGAAGGCATGATGTTAGGCTGATGAGTGTGTCTTCAAATCAATTTAAGTGCAGGATAAGTGGAACCTCTTTGAGTGTGCCCGACATTTCTTAATGTGTGACGGTCTATAAGGAGTATAAGGCAGCTGGAGTGTGTTAATGGATAATTATCGGATAAATTACATAATTAATAATTATAATTATCTTAACTAAGCGGTAGAGAAGAAGGGGGCGGGAGTCGGCTCCATCGCTAACGTCGTTGGACTTGCTCCAGCCGGTCTTGGACGATTATATTTGGACTTTCAAGAAATTATATTTTTCTCTGCGCCTCGAGCGCTGGATTACATAGTTTTTTTGGGGGGGCGTTCTTTTAATATTTCATTATATACTTTTTAGGGGTCAAAATAAATGTGGCTGTAAATCAAGGACCTATTTTGTGTGTGTGTGTGTGTGTGTGTGTGTGTGTGTGTGTGTGTGTGTGTGTGTGTGTGTGTGTGTGTGTGTGTGTGTGTGTGTGTGTGTATGACAGCTTTTACCTACATTTACTCATCAAAAAGTTGCACTACTAACCACCTATTCTTCTTCCAGCGGGATGAGCCACTCACTCCAGTCATTAGACCTCAGTTACAACCAGCTGACTGCCGTCCCCAGACAGGCTCTCAGACCCCTCAAGGCACTCGAATGGATCAACCTACATGGGTGAGTCTATCGCTGTCATCCATGACTTATACCATCAGCCTTCATGGGTGAGTCTATCGCTGTCATCCATGCCTTATACCATCAGCCTACATGGGTGAGTCTATCGCTGTCATCCATGCCTTATACCATCAGCCTACATGGGTGAGTCTATCGCTGTCATCCATGACTTATACCATCAGCCTACATGGGTGAGTCTATCGCTGTCATCCATGACTTATACCATCAACCTACATGGGTGAGTCTATCGCTGTCATCCATGACTTATACCATCAGCCTACATGGGTGAGTCTATCGCTGTCATCCATGACTTATACCATCAGCCTACATGGGTGAGTCTATCGCTGTCATCCATGCCTTATACCATCAGCCTACATGGGTGAGTCTATCGCTGTCATCCATGACTTATACCATCAACCTACATGGGTGATAGTGAGATCGAATATCAGGGTATTCGATGTCTTTCAGCTGTTTGAAGGGATAGGGGAATATAGGGGATGTTCTTAGGGGAATTTCTAGGGGTAGGGTACAGAAGAGAGATGTTCTTCAAGTGTTCTGCTGTATGAGAACAAGAGTGGTTCTTGTGGCGAGGTGAGTGCTGGAACACGGTCGTGAGAACACACTTGAGATTACTGGGAATTTGGATCGAGCAATGGCCATGGCTGTTTTTGTTCATTACACATACACACACACACATACATACACTCACACACACACATACACTCACACACACACATACACTCACACACACACACACACACACACACACACACACACACACACACACACACACACACACACACACACACACACAGATAGACACACACACACACACACTTTATAGAGCCCAATAGGCTCAGGAACCTGTACACCTATTGATTGACAGTTGAGAGGCGGGACCAAAGAGCCAGAGCTCAACCCCCGCAAGCACAACTAGGTGAGTACAACTAGGTGAGTACACACACACACCTGTCGCCCAATTAGCGCGTCAGGTGGAAACAGACAAAATAGGTTAGCAAAAAGAGAGAAAACAGTGGTTGATAGGAAGCCTACCTACGTGAGACCTGCTCCTGAATATGCAGGGGCCCCCGCGAATAGAGCCCCTCACCTTAAGCATTACGTCAACACTACAAGAAATCCAACACTCTGCAACACTACTCGTTCCTGAACTAAATGGCTAGACCTATAAGGAAAGACTGAGGAGAAATGGACATGACAACGACATACAAGATTGAAGAACTCGTTGAAGGTATCACAAAACACAATTATAGATGTAAATATGACAAAAGCATAGCAAATGTCATTGCGTTAATCACACACACACACACCACACACACACACACACACACACACACACACCACACACACACACACACACACACACACACACACACACACACCCACACACAGTGGGTGTGTGTGGAAACTAAAATTAATGACATGATCTCAGATGCAATCTTTCCTGAAGGGTACCAGGTGATACGAAAAGAGAGGACACAGAGACAGGGAGGGGGAGTAGCACTCCTAATAAAGCGGAAATGGAAGTTTGAAGACCTGGGAAATCGAGTTACCAATGAGTGCACAAGCTTCATACATGGAACTCTGACAGTAGATGGGAGGAAGATTGTGATCATGGTAATCTACAATCCCCCACCAAACAGTAGAAGACCCAGGCAGGAGTATGATGACAACAACAAAGCATGTATAGATGAACTGCAGAAGGCAGCAACACTAGCCCACAGAATGAGAGCGAAGCTGCTGATCATGGGGGACCTAAATCATGGAGAGATAAATTGGGAATCAAGGAATCCCCATGGAGGGGATGAAACGTGGGGAGCAAAATTAGTAGATGTTATAGACAGGAATTTCCTGACACAACATGTGAAGGAAGACACAAGGGAAAGAGGAGGAGATGCACCGAGCCTATTAGACCTGATTTTCACCCAGAACGTAGAAGATATCGAGAATTTAGAGCATGAAATACCTCTAGGGGCCAGTGACCATTGTGTCCTAGTCTTTGACTACATGATGGAATTCAAAATTATGACCATGGGACAAGAGATCTGGGAAAGGAGAGCTGACTACAGGAAAGGGGACTATATGAGGATAAGGGACTATCTGGGTGAAGTGCAGTGGGAGGAAGAAATTAGAGGAAAAACAGTCCAAGATATGATGGACCTAGTCATACAGAAATGCCAGGAGGCCGAAGAGAGATTTATACCAACGGTAAAGGGAAAAATAAGAAGGAATATAATAACCCATGGTTTAATAGACAGTGTCAGGAAGCAAAAATGGCCAGCAGGCGGGAGTGGAGGAAGTACAGAAGACAAAGAACAGAGGACAACAGAAGCAGATACAACAGAGCTAGGAACGATTACATTAACATAAGACGAACATCGGAAAGGGACTATGAGAACGATATTGCAATCAAAGCGAAAAAACAACCTAAGTTACTACACAGTCATATAAGAAGAAAAATGTCGGTGAACGACCAAGTGACAAGACTAAGGAAGACAGAGGGGGCATATACTGAAAGTGACAAGGAAATCTGCGAGGCACTGAATGCCAGTTTCCATGGAGTGTTCACTACCGAGCCTGAGCAGCTCCCATTGTTGGAAGGGGTTACCCTAGATGAAAGACTATCAGATATAGAGGTGACAGCAGAGGAGGTAATGAAACAGTTGACAACTCTAGATGCAACTAAAGCAGTTGGACCAGACAAAGTATCACCGTGGATACTAAAAGAAGCAGCACAGGCCCTCAGCGTGCCTCTGGCAATGATCTTTAATGAGTCACTTATGTCAGGAGAATTGCCCAGTTGCTGGAAGAAGGCAAATGTCGTGCCGATCTTCAAGAAAGGAGATAGGGAGGAGGCACTTAACTACAGACCTGTATCACTGACAAGCATCCCCTGTAAAATACTGGAAAGAATAATTAGGCTACGACTGGTTGCACACCTGGAGAACATTAGGTTTGTGAACAAACATCAACATGGGTTCTGGACAGGGAAATCGTGCCTAACAAACCTTCTGGAATTCTATGATAAAATAACGAGGATAAGACAGGACAGAGATGGTTGGGCAGACTGCATATTTCTGGACTGCCAAAAAGCCTTTGATACAGTACCGCACATGAGACTGCTGTTCAAGCTCGAGAGGCAGGCGGGGGTGGGGGGAAAGGTCCTAGAATGGATAAGGAACTACCTAACAGGAAGGAGCCAAAGAGTTACGGTAAGGGGCGAGAAGTCGGACTGGCGAACAGTAACAAGTGGAGTACCACAAGGATCGGTGCTGGGACCAATTCTATTTCTTGTATATGTTAACGACATGTTTACAGGCGTAGAGTCCTACATGTCGATGTTTGCGGATGATGCAAAGTTGATGAGAAGAGTTGTGACAGATGAGGATTGCAGGATCCTCCAAGAGGACCTGAACAGATTGCAGAGATGGTCAGAGAAATGGCTACTAGAATTCAACACGAGCAAATGTAAAGTTATGGAAATGGGACTAGGAGATAGGAGACCAAAGGGACAGTACACAATGAAGGGGAACAGCCTACCTGTAACGACGCGTGAAAGAGACCTGGGGGTGGACGTAACACCTAATCTATCTCCTGAGGCACATATTAATAGGATAACGACAGCAGCGTACTCTACACTGGCAAAAGTTAGAACATCATTCAGAAACCTAAGTAAGGAGGCATTTAGGGCGCTTTACACTGCCTACGTAAGGCCAGTCTTAGAGTATGCCGCCTCATCATGGAGTCCCCATCTGAAGAAGCATATAATGAAACTGGAAAAGGTTCAGAGGTTTGCAACGAGACTCGTCCCAGAGCTACGAGGGATGGGGTATGAAGAGCGCCTGAGGGAACTGTGCCTTACGACACTAGAAAGAAGAAGGGAGAGGGGGACATGATAGGAACGTATAAGATACTCAGAGGAATTGACAGAGTGGACATAGACGAAATGTTCACACGGAATAGTAACAGAACGAGAGGACATGGATGGAAGCTTGAAACTCAGATGAGTCACAGAGATGTAAGGAAGTTTTCTTTTAGCGTGAGAGTAGTGGGGAAATGGAATGCACTTCAGGAACAGGTTGTGGAAGCAAATACTATTCATAATTTTAAAACCAGGTATGATAGGGAAATGGGACAGGAGTCATTGCTGTAAACAACCGATGCTCGAAAGGCGGGATCCAAGAGTCAATGCTCGATCCTGCAAGCACATATAGGTGAGTACATCTAGGTGAATACACAAACACACACACACACACACACACACACACACACACACACACACACACACACACACACACACACACACAACACACACACACACACACACACACACACACACACACACACACACACACACACCACACACACACACACACACACACCACACACACACACACACACACTCACACACACACACACACCACACACACACACACACACACACACACACAAACACACACACATACCACACACACACACCGCACACACACACACACACACACACACACCACACCACACACACCACACACACACACAACACACACACATTTGGACCACACACCATGTGAAATTTTTCTTGGCTTCGACCAACACATATTCTCGCCCCACCAAAGCCGCAGACCCCCACCATAGCCGCAGACCCCCACCATAGCCGCAGACCCCCACCATAGCCGCAGACCCCCACCATAGCCGCAGACCCCCACCATAGCCGCAGACCCCACCATAGCCGCAGACCCCCACCATAGCCGCAGACCCCCACCATAGCCGCAGACCCCCACCATAGCCGCAGACCCCCACCATAGCCGCAGACCCCACCATAGCCGCAGACCCCACCATAGCCGCAGACCCCCACCATAGCCGCAGACCCCACCATAGCCGCAGACCCCCACCATAGCCGCAGACCCCCACCATAGCCGCAGACCCCCACCATAGCCGCAGACCCCCACCATAGCCGCAGACCCCACCATAGCCGCAGACCCCACCAT